TCCAACCCTCCCTTTGGAACCAGCGAGATGCGGCCGTGAGTGGGGTTGCTAAAACAACAAATGCTGTCGAAAGATGGCATTTCGCATCCAATCCTACTTCAGCGGAGCCCACCCAAAAACTTAGAAAGTTGTGGGCAGCCAGCAAAAGGAAGGCTCCGTTCAAAAACTTAACTTTTTCGATGCATCGAGTGGCCATACGTTTATAAAAACAAAAAATACCGTGTATTAAATGAAGGATTACAAAACATAATGCCCGCTTACGAAGACAAAACTGATATGTATTTTTTCAGAGCGTCATCTAGTTTGTATTAAGCTAGTGTACATTTTGTCTCATTTTTGTTTCTTCTTTCGTATTATTAAAATTCAGTTGTCAGCTGTTTTAGAAAAAAGTTTCCTTGCAGACTTGTGGAAACATAACTAAACGCAAGAACTTGACTCGTGCGCTAGCAACATTAAAATAGGACAATCGACCTCATATTAGGGTTAATAGGTTCGGACTAGGGGCTGGCAAAAATTATGAGGGGGACCCTTTAATTTTGCGTATAAGTGCCAACAATTCAAAAAAAGCTGACAAAGTGATCAAGTTATAGTCTTATGTTCGAGAATCATTGTAAAAAATATTCATTTTTAGGCTTTTGGCGTTGATTAAACATTTTTTTAAGTTTCCATACCGGCCAAAAAATAGGCCATAATAATCACAGGCCGTCTAGTGATTTGCGGGCTTTTGAATTTCCTTGAGCTTCTGCTTGTTTTTGGTTCATATTGAAACGATTCATTGAAATTATTGACAAGGACTTTTCTGTTCAAAGTTTACGCGGATTAAGCTGAGCAAAATTGTCTTGCTTTAAAAGCAAAAATTTCTCCCGTTTGCTTCTTTGATGTTTACTGTTTGAATTAACTTTTCTTTTCCTTTTGAATTAAAACGGTTCTAAGTTATAGAAAGGGCTTTAAAAAGTAGCGATGTGAAATTGCTATGGCAACAAAAAGTAGAATGTGAAATTGTATGGTGTTAAGTTGTTTAGAGTTAAAGAGGGGGAACCAAATAACTCTTTTCCACATGGATAATGCTTTGATTTTTTAATTTCTTGCCTGAATGACCTTCAGTTCTAATTAGGCACCTGCCAGTTCTGTTATAGCATCGACTTTTCTTCACTGTTCAGAATAGTTTGAGGTTGTCATTTTAAATAAAAGCTTTTCTTAATTTATTTTCTTTTTTCTTAAATTTAGTGTGCATACTAGTACTTAGTTAATTGTACAGTTAGTACATTTTGTTTTTACCGATGAGCAAAAAGCTTTTATCAATTTCCCCATTTGCAATTTTCTAAAACTCAACGGTGAATTTTCAATTATTGAGCTCAAAAAGTCGATTTTTGTATTATCTTGCCAGATACATCCAAAAAATTTGTTGTTTTTTAAACCTTGCGACCGCTTTCATTTAAAATAAAAATCTTTCGAACAGTTTTACACTGCAAATGTAAATTTTATCTTCTATAGTTAAATTGAACCAAATTTGCATTGGAAGTGTCTATAAGTTTTATTTTAAATTTTAATTCCAAATTGAGTGAATAGATGAATCCAAAGAAAATTACCTTTAAGATTTTTGAATATTTTCAACTATAAATTTTCTATTTTTTTTTCATGGGATCTATCACTCGAAAACACAATTTTGCTGTCAAAATTGTACCCCATAAACCAGCAAAAAGGCTCAGGATTTTTTTGATGAAGAGAATAAAGTTTTAAGGAACATTTTGTCGACCTTTTATTATAGTTTGTAAGTCAGCTATATCGAATTTTTCGAACTCTGCCAAAACTCAAGAAAGATCATATCTGCACCTCAACCAAATGTTTGAAAAAACTGCCGTTTGAGCATGGAAACTGCCCTTCTCAAAGTTATTATTTTTTTCAGTATTTGTAAAGTTATTACCTTAAAATTGTTTCAGAGATGATCGCTATTTTCTAAAACGTTTCTCAACACAATTTTAATTTAAAATTTTGTTTTCTGGTCATCACAAATTCATCAAAAGCATTTAAACTGATCTTTGCTCTAGAAAATTGCCAGTTGTTTTTTGAATTGTTCTTTCATCTGATTCTGATGCTATTGTAGCTTTGGAGCGCAACTTTTTAAACAAACCTCTAACATTGCCCTTTGATTGAACTTGACAACTTGAATTGTCAAAATTATGAGGGGGACTTCTTTTATGTATGTTTCTGATGTTATGTAGTCCGTTTCCATGTCGCAGTTTAACATACGAAGGCGTAAGTCTATTTCTATTTTATTTCTGTGGTCAAAGTTTAAGATGCGATTTACAATGCCAGCTCGGGGCAGTCAGCTCGTAAAATTTATCGCTTTGAGATCCCCTGTTCCCTCGACTTCAACCGGTTTTGTCTATTTATCTGATTACTCAGTACGGATTTCGACTTAGCCATTTATGACTTTGCGGTATCTTACCTGTAACGAAGAGCCTAAATTACTATACCTACCATCATTCGATGCCATCAGAAGAAAAACAGGAGACGTATCTTAAGTATTGATAGAAGTTAGCTGTGTGATTTCGTTTATAGACTAGTAAAAGTAAAAAAGGCTCGCTGCAGTTCAAGAAATAGAAGCATTTATTGTACAGTGCTGACAGTTTTTATAGAAAAACGCTCCTTGAGCATGAGCAGATGCATTTTGGTTCAAACAAATATTTACCCAACACAACTCCAAAGGTATTCGTAAAAAATGAGATAACTGTAAGCTCTTTCATTAATTTCTTTTTGGTGTTCGTAAATGAGTCGTATTAATCTTATAACCTGGTATTGGTTTGTGATATGACATAAAGTTTCAAGCAGAGTTTTGTCACCATCTCCAAAGCGCTTGACTTTCAAGCTTGCTAAAATATTTTAGCTCTGACTAACTTCGAGTCTAACTAACTTCGAGTCTAATTCAACAAAAGGACGCGCAGAACACTCAGAACTAAACTGTATTTTGTGACTAAATGAAATACAACAGCAGTAAAAACAAGCAAAAAAGCGGGTTGCTGAAGTGGTTGCACAGAAAAGTCCTACCACAAAAAAAAACTAAAAAAGATTTTTCTTTTCAAATTGTGTCAAATGCTGTCCGTGTCATTATGGGAGCATCAGAGCGAAAACGACCTGAACTTAGGCGCATTCGACATTACTTTTCTTCAAATAAATATGAAAAGTAGAAAAAAATAATTTGTAGAAAGTTTTTTTGAATTTTGTTTAAGTTTCATTGCGAGGCTTAACTGTGCACTAGATAGGCCCACAATTTGTTGAGTGTAGGTCTCTGGAAGCCAAAGACACGTCTTTAAACATCTCAACATTTTTACGGAACGATCAAAGAAAACGAAAGAACAAAGAAGATCAAGGAGAGCGTCCTCGTTGCGGAATCCGCTTAAAATTGACAAAATACACCGTGTGGCCTCGTAATATTTTGTTACCACAAAAGCGCGATAAAGCATCATAAATTAATTTTAATGGAGCAAATTTAAGTTTATTGTTCCGACTTTCCTAACGAAAGTAACGGAATATTTGTGCTCGGGGTGGATTTTTTCTTCTTCAGACAAATTTCGACTTTTTAACTAGCCATTTTTGACGGCGTTTTTTAAATATTATTCAAAAAGTATTGATGTCCTGAGCTTAAATATGAAAAGATATTTCACCTGTGATTATTTTTGGTAATGTTATGGGGGTTTAAAGATTGTAATTTTGGCCAAATTAGGACAATTAACGCGCAATATATTTCGCGCTATTAACGCGTAAGCGGATATTTTATCCATCTTAGAATTCGTTCCAAATTGGTTGAAAGAAGCTTATTTGTCACAATTTATTTGTTAAAAGGAGCACAATCTATCCTTTTGTAGTTTATATCTCGTGTGGGGAGATGATTTTCACAAAAATACTCAAATTGTAGAAACCTTTTTTTTTCTTCATTTTATTTGATTACATTTTTTTAATGTTATTACTGCTCCATTGACCTTAAAAGGCAGTCGGAACATTGAGGGCTTCGCCCTGATACGAGCAGTCTTGTTTCGCTTTTATACTCTTCTTATAAGTTGCTAGCTCGCTTTATTCATGCATAATTAGAGTAAAAATTAAAGTGTTCGAACCAATTTATCTCAACATCGAGGAAACCCTTTGGCAATTTTCTAAGTGCTTCGATTTTTGACAAAAAATGTTCAAATAACATGCCAATCGGCCATGACCAGATTGGGGTACCTAATTTTGCGGGAAAAAAAAACAATTTGCAGAAATAAATCATACCCGAAGACAAAGTTCCTGCCAACTTACACGATTGTCGAATTCACAATTTTTTCTCTCGCTTAGAGTATCAATGAAAAAAATCGAATGCTTGCTCAAATAATCAATTATAAAAACAAAATTGCTCATTTCAGAACAAAGCCTTAAAAACTTCGACTGGTCTCTATAATATCTGAAATAAATGTTGATTAAAAAAACTCGATGAAATTGTAAGAAGTCTTTTTAACTTTTGTAAATTAAGTTTTTTTTCTGTTGATTTCCTTCTCCCGCGACAAAATTTGTGATATGATAGTTAAAGTAGTGTGAACCAGCTGGTTACACTTTTTGTTACACTAAAAATGCTTTTTTAAATAAAAGTTTGAAAAAAAAAATACTTTTAGGAGGGGTAAACTCTACAAAAAAAACCTAATTAATTCCTGCCGCAGTTATCAAAATCCCTCTCCTCCTTTATGAATTTTTTTTTCTGAGAAAACTGTGTTTTTTAAAAAATTGTAACTAATCGAAATTATTTAATTGGCAAAGTATGATTTTTGGACAATAGTAAATTTATATTTTTGTCTCCGGAAAATTCAAATTAGGAAGACATTTAATTAGCATCGATATTTGTCAATTAGAACTGTGGCACTAGTTTTTTCTCAAAAATTTTCAATATGACTATTTCATTGGGTTTTTTACCGTAGCAATGTTGTAGCAACTCAATTTGGGCATTTGTAGCAACTCAATGTAATAACCACCTATTATAAACCTCCGTTTTGTTGAGTTGAAGCTCTTCTTGAGCTTGGATTAGAGTTCCCGTTTTTCACTTTATTGAATCTCGGTAGCCAAGAGGTTCCACCCGACCCACCACTCGCGGGTTTCAAAATGCCGCTCGCAGATGGCGCCATCGCGTTCGCTAGCTTGGAAGCAGAGGAGTACGAGTTACCACCCAGGTGATTAAAATTAGCCGAAGGTCCGGGGTGAAAACTGGAATCCAGGGAGCCCTCTCCAATACTGTTTAAAGAACTGGTTGAGCTGTAGTTTGACAAACCGGTTATTGACCTCGGAGTGTCAAAATGAGAGGAAAACGGTCGGACCTGATTGACAGGTATTGGCGACCTAAACTTAGGCTGGGGCAATCTAGTAGGCATGATTCGTTCACGCGGCAAAATCGGAGTCGCGGGTAAGGACATAGGCTTGTTATTGTAGATATCTTGCATACTTTGACATACAATTCGTGCTTCGTTTCGGAACATATTCGGAATCATTTTCTGAGATTCCAGAATTTTTTCGGAATTGTTGGTCGAAACGTGCGTGAAATGATCTTCAATTCCCCGCAAGAGATCTTTGATTAGCCTACTTTGATCAGAAATTATAGTTTGCTGCGCCAATAAATATTCACCCATTTTCGTTTCATAAAACTCTTTCAAACATGAGACTTCGCTATTTAATCGATCTTTATACTCCGTTTCCATGTGTTTCATCATTGTTATTTGTTCGTTATGAAGATTTTTCATATTATCTTGTTGGAAGTTGTGAATTTCCTTCATATTATTGACTTGAAACTCATGTTTAACTTGACTTTCGTTCCGTAAACTTTCGATAAGTTCGAACTGTTTTTGCTGCATTTCAGCCATTTTTTGGTCCTGCTCTTTTTTATACTGTGTGGTTTTTTGGTCTTGATAATCTATTAGTTCTTTCAACATGAGCGTATTTTTCAAAGCAGTCTCAGCGTTTTCTTTCTGAACTGATTTAATCAAATTTTGCTCTTCTTTCAATGCAGAAAAATGTTCATTTTGGCGCAGATAAATGTCGTTCACTTTACAAATTTGCTCATCTTTTGCCTCGCTTATTTTTTCTTTCGCCTCATTTTGATTTTCTTGGGCTTTCTGGGTTTGAAAATTAGTCGTTTCGTCTAATCTCTGACTCGTAAACTTTCTCGTAAAGTCGAACGAATCGTCTTGGCGTTGTCGCAACTCGGCTATTTCGTTACTATGTGTCATTCGCATCTCTTGCATTCGGGTCTCGTGTGCCAACATTTCTTCCCATTGTTCACGCTGCTTTTTCTGCAAAAAGTCAATTTCGTGCAACTGCTGATTCTGCCGTTTGCACATGGCATCCAGGGTCGATGGAACACATCGGACGTAACTTAGAACCTCGAACTTCAGACCGGAAACGTCATTCTTCAAAGAGTCAAGGTCATCCAGTGTGACCTCGCCCTCTTCGGCTTCTTTCATTTGATTACGCATGTACTGGTCTTTCATTGCCCGAATGATATCGGGCAATCTTTAGAAATTACAATTATGATAGATGGGTCCCTATAACAGCTAAGAACTAAGCATGGTACTTTGAAGCTATAGTATATCATCGTATTATGTTTTATTTGAATCACAGATATTATCTTTATTCCTTTATTGTAAGGTCCATATGAATACAAGGTAAAAATATATGTTTTGCCCATCAACATTAAAAGGGAATTGGGTAATACGCTCAATAGTTGAATTGGATCTACTTGACAATCTTTCCATCCCCCCTCTCCATCCCCCCTCTCTCCATCCCCCCCCCCATAGTATTTACTAAAGAATCTCAACCCCTATAAAAAAATACAGTAAATTAGTATTAAGACTTGGCTCTTTTTCCTTTCCCCCCCCACCTGCCAATTTTTATATTTGAAGTTACTGTTCACTTTGTCTGATTGTCATGAAAGTTGACATGCTGGCTAATTAGACCATGACAAACATATTTGGTCTTCATAATTAATCTTGTAAAATCACTCGTTAGATTTTATTGAAAATTCTTATTTGGCTGCATTATAATCTACTAAACCATCTTCCCCCCCCCCCTTCTTCAAAGGGGGAAATTATGAAGTAGATCCGTACATTTTGAATATTTGCTTAACCGCAAGAGAAGTCATATATAGTACTACCCACCATAAGGATGAAATTATAAAACTCAGCTTATAAACAGTCACTCCTAGACTGACCGCTTATACCTGCGACTTAAATGGTCCGTTTTGTTTTTTGTGCCTTTTATTCCATCAAAAAAACTCATTTGGTTCATACTTTGAAATTACCTAAAAACACCTGTTCGATTTTTCTCTTGTGGCACTTCGATCATATGTGAACCCTTGTGAACCCATCGATCATAATTGCTCCCACCTTTCTTCGCTTTCCCGCTGCTTTCGTCTCGTCTCGGCCAATTTCGGCTTGGCAATATGAAGTAACTTTTCACTTTTGTAACACATTTTGTACAGTTTTGCAAACAACAGCATCAGATTTCGAAGTGAGGGGAAAATATTAAAGGGCGCTGGAAGACAATCTGAGTCGCTAATGTATTCCAGGTAAATATTTGACCTCGCGAATTTCCATTCCGTGTCAATATTTTCTTCAATGTTGTCCAAAGTTTTTGTAATCATACCAATAAGCACGTTTAATAGAACAACGACAGCAACAAAGTTGAAAAGAATGAACAAAATTGAACCCACAAATGTGTGAAGAGTCCAATTTTCGTATACTTTCGAGGCAAAAACTATATCCGAGTAGCCAAAAAGCGTCCAGTATAGCTGGTAAAGACAACCGCCTAATGTCGTGAATTGAAACTCGCCCTTTTTTACTCGGTTCATAATCATATCTGGACATTTCGTGAAGGTTTTGGTACCATTTATTGCATCACGTAACTCGCAAGCGTTTATAACTGTGTACTGATCTTTCCAATAGAGGGAGTTAATGGCCGAAGCAAACGATATGTACATAATTAAAAACAGTGCCATGAATTTAGCAATTTCTCCGAAAGACGAGCCCAAACTCATTTGCAATTTTCCCAATAATCGGCTTGCACGGAAGTAATGCAAAATTCGGTTAACTGCAACCAAAGTTCCCATGCAGAGCGACGCTTCGTATATTAAAAGGTTGTCGTAAAACTCCCATTTCGTTCGCTCGACCGACTTGTACTCAAAGACCTCCAGAGCATCGTTCATTCTCGCAGTTGTCGCGATTAGAAACATAACAGCGATCATGAAGTCTAGAAAGTTCCAAACGTCGTTTAGGTACGCGCGAACTCCATGATTGGCCATTTCGCGGATTTCTTGGAACATACTCCCAAGCATCCACAGAAAAATGTAACATTCATACCACTTTATAGTTGACCCATGGCGAAATGAGTCACTTTCAAGGTCTTGTGGATCCGGGGGCAGGAGTTTGATCTGGTTCCATGTGGCGATGAAAATGAACGAAAGATACATGACAAGGTTCGCTACAAACTTCAGAAGCGGTATGTTCAGGTACCTGTCCACGTGAGTCAGGGGAGGCAAGATGACGAGGGAAAGGACCCAAAGCGGTGTGCCTAGGACCATAAGGATTGTGATCTGTAGCTTCTCAGATGACGATTTGTGCCTCCAACCTAGAACGCACTAAAAATTAAGCCTCAAGTTGTGAAGAAAAATCACATTAAATGCGGGAGAGTTCTTATTAAACGCCGTTGTTTTTGATTATTGCTTTATGATGCGATGTAATTCAATTTTTTAGCAACAATCGTAATTATAATTCTAAAGCGTTGCCGGTAATTTCATCTTTTTACAGCTTCCGAAAATAAGCTCCAAACTGAACTTCATTTTGAAGTCAAGCACGTTTCATGGTTGCTGTTCCGACTTTCGTAACAAAAGTAACGAAATATTTGTGCTCATGGTGGTTTTTTCTTCAGACAAATTTCGATTTTTAACTGGCCATTTTTTACGAGATTTTTTTACATCATTAAAAAAGTATTGTTGTCCTGAACTTGAATTTGAAAAGATATTTCACCTGTGATCATTCTTCAAAAAAGTTATGGGGGTTTAAAGATTGCCATTTTGGCCAATTTGAGACAGTTGACGCGCGATATGTTTCGCGCTATTAACGCGTAAGCAGAGTTTTAATCCATCTTAGAAATTGTTCCAAATTAGTTGAAGGAAGCTTAGTTGTCATAATTGATTTCTTACTATTGAGCAAAATCTATCACTTTGTACTTTATAAGGCGTGTGGGGGGGTGAATTTCACAAAAAATCTTTTTTTTTTTTAATTTTTTTTTACATTTAATTTTTTCATGTTGTTACTGCTCCATAGACCTTAAGAGACTGTCGGAACATTCAGGGTCTCACTCTGATACGAGCGGTCTTGTTTGCATTTATAATCGATCAATCAGCAATAACTAATCTCGGCTCATCTTTCATTCAAAAAACTCGACCCTGGAGCAGACAAATGTTTGGTTTTACTAGGTACAGCCAAAAATTCGGATATTTTCCAAGGGTCGAAGAATACGATTTAATCCGACTTCAGAATATGGGACTTGTATTGAAAAATTTGGATTGCTAAACAATTGGATTTTAAAAAAATGTTTTAAAATGCTTCACTGGGCTACAATAAAGAAGTAGACACTTGACTTCAACGAGCGAAAATTGAGAGAAGTTTTTGTCTTTTTCTCTGCAACTATTTATAATGTTGGTTAGAAACAACCCAAGCCAGATGGAAAAAAATTAAAAGCATTTCGCTTTGTCAAAATTCGAAAGATCTTGATTCGAAGGCGTAAATTAGCCAGTATATTCTAAATAGTTTCAGGGTATCCTTAATGTGGAAGCATCCTCGCAAACAACCTAAGACAACTCAATCCATGGACTGGTCCCGGGTCAAGAAAGGTTATATATATATATATATATATTCATTATCATGCAGAACACTTGCTGTTTTGACTATATAAAAAACTGGCTGTTTCGAATAAAAATGTTTCGACTTAAAAAGATACACTGGCTGTTGTGATAAAAAGAACAAAACGAGCCAGATAAAAAAAGGTCCTCCAGCAAGCTTTTTAGAAATTTGACTGCTTTGATGAAGCACAAAATTCTTATAAACTTTTATTTTGTCTCTAAACATTGATCAATTTTCGTGAATTAGCGCCCATTTCTGTGTCGTCAAGACAATTAAGATTGTTTTCTGACCCCGGATTAAGTCACTTTTTCACCAAGACAGTCTGTCGTTGTTCCGCGGTAAAAAGAGTATGCCAATTAATCATTGCCCTAAGAAACAATTTGAGACGATGGATTTAGATTTCTTATGTTGTTTGCGAGGATGTTTCCACATTAAGGTATACTGGCTGTTTTACTCCCTGAAAGCAAGGTTTCTCATATTTTGACAAGGCAAAGTCCTTTCAAATAGTTTTATTTTGCATGTGTAAAAAATTCAACCCTATTTTTTTATGAGTTGTAGAGAAAAAGACGAAAACGTGATGAAAAAAGTTTCATTCCTTCGCTCGTTGAAATCAAGTATCTATTTATTTATTGTATCCCAGCATAAATGCTAACACGCTAAAAATTTTAAATTACTTTTTCAAACCACGTGATCTGTAAATCAAGCATTTTTCTCAGACCGGATACAAAACTTGTCTATAATATTTTTTCTCTTCAATTGTTTTTATTAAAAAACTCAAACGCAAACAAAGTTTTTTTTCAATATGTAATTTCAACACTCAGCAGGTGGTTATTTTTGTTCGATATCTAATGCTATAAAAAGAGGAGGTTTTTTTTAGCTGCTGACCTCATTCTCATATAAACAATAATTTAAAATTTTAATGTAAGTTTGGAGAGTTCTCATGTTTTTAGCAAAACAAGGGTTGCAAAATTACCTAAGGACTAATGAATCAGCTGCCACAAACACTCTTGAAATCAAAGCCGAGGTCGTGGCCTTGCAGAGCAAGTTTTAGTGATCAGATGTATAGAATTTATTAAGACAGTCATATATTTTCAATTCCAAAATCTTGGTATGCTACAAGTTTTAAGCTGAGCTTTTTGCAATTAGGCCAAGTCTTTGCTTAACATATATAAATAGTAACAATTACCAAATACGACGTATGTCTTTTGTGGTTTCGCTATTTTATAATATGCACTATTTTGGTTCGGTTTCTACCTTCTTTTAAAAAAGGTGAATCGAAAGTATTGACAAGCTTCAAACGATGTGGTTGAAAACTCCTGCGTTAAATAATGTCATTAATTTATTTTTGATGGATGTCGATTTTTTGGGGGGAAGGAAAAGTGACGAAAAAACGCGTTTAGTGTACTTGAAGCAGAGAAGCCAGAATGTCCTACGTTTGTGTATGCGTAGCAGTTGTGGTTTGAAATTATGTTCTAACTTATGAAAAAAATTCAGTAAAAGTAGCCAACAGAAGTTTAGAAAAGTGTCAATTCACTCAGATAGAGCAAATAAAAAGAATGGCTTCGATTCAATTTTCGATTTTTGTTTTTTTCAAAATCAATTACCTCTCAAAACACATTTTGAACTCTTTCAATAGTTTTACATTTTTCTATCTTCAGTTTCGGTTTCTTTCTTATTTTAACTAAGGTGAATCGAGAGTATAGAAAAGGATCAAACGATATGATTGAAAACTGTTGCGTTGAATGCCATGAAATATGTTTTTGATGTGTGCCAATTTTTTTGGGGAAGGAAAAGTGATTGAAAACGCGCTTAAGGTACATAAAGCAGAGAAAGCAGAAGATTCTACAATTTTGTATGCGTAACAGTTGTGGTTTGAATTTATGTTCTAATTTTCGAAAAACAAAAAATTCGGTAAATATAGCCCCACACAATTGAAAAAGTGTCAATGAACTCACAAAGACCTAACAAAATGACTGATTTTGATTCAATTTTTAACTTATGATTTTTTGAAAATCAATTGCATCACCTCAAAGCATATTTTGAATTTCAATTGTTTTCAATAATTGTCACTGCATTGACAAAATTAATTCCTGTAAAAAAGCCATTTTTAAAGTAATATTTCTTCGCTTATTTGTTTCTCACCAGTTAAGATTTTGCAATTGAGGAGCATCGGTTGTCTTCTTCTTAGCACCTTATTTAAAAATTTAACAACCGAAAATCAAACCGCAGAAAACCACGCGAAAAACTCTTCAAATTTTTTTCTTGAAAAATACCACACGACTTGAATTTGTGTCCTCGTTTTGTTACTGTTAAGTTAGATTAGGTTAAAATTAATGAGCCACAAACTTAAATCAATATTATTAAAATATCGGTCTGACAAAAAACATAAAATTTCGACACAGAGATAACTTTGTCAAAATTTCAACATTGTACCGCTCAAAATTACTCAAAAATAGGCAAACTTGCGGAAATCGCAACAGTATTTGCGGAATCCTGAATAGTTCGTGAAATCTACGAGCAACTATCAAAAAAATAACATAAAAAATTGAGCTGTTGTGGAATCCGCGACTGTTAGCGGAATCCGCAAAGTGTAAGCGGAATCCGCAAAGTGTAAGCAGAATCCGCGTTTTATTTGCGTATTCCACATTTATAACTAACAAAACTGCGATCCACTTATAATTGTAGAATCAGCTTACAATTTGCGGAATTCGGAACAATTATCTATATTCTTTCGCTGCGGAATTGGCGAAAAAACTAAACTGCTGACAAGTTTTACGTTAGAGATATTTTTACGCGGAATCCACAAAAATTTTGTAAATCCACATGCATTTTCGAGCATGTTAAAATACTTGTCTCTGGAATCCACGAACATACAGACACAAAATTGTGCGCCTATCCAGTGCACAGTTTGGCCTCGTAATGTTTCCAGATTTGGAATCACGACAGAAAGGGCTTCAAAATGAAACCTTACTCGACCTTCTTCAAATTTTGTCAATTTTTATCGAATTGACCGGAAATACAGATAGTCAGTCTTGGTGATTGTTCGCTCCACTTTCCGAGAGCAATAGGAACAGAAAGCCAAATTTTTATTTTCATTTTCTCGACTCTCGCGTTTTTTTCTTACAATGCTTCGCAATTACTTAGAATCAAAAAGTTTTTTACCGTTATCCCCGCCCACCTCTAATTTTCATCATTAAATTTGCGTTAATATATCCAGTCTCTTTGAAGTTCGGCGTGCCCCATAACTTCGCTACCCTGAACCATTTAAACTGCATCTATAATCTTATTTCACTCGCAAATCTATTTAAGTCCGTGGTGGGTGAAACAGCAAAAGAGCCAGACTTTTAGTCGTCTTCTTTCTGATCGCAAATTCAGATATGTAATTCACTCTTAACAAAATTGAATTTCATCATTGTCGCATAATTAGCACCTCATTTCAGTCAAGTAGAAAATGAACTTGAAATTAGAGTTTCTTTTTTTTCCAATTTGAAGACACCAATACAACTATTTTAATATTCCAACTACCTCTGCAAAGGAGATCTTAAAAGCTGCATACTAAGGTATTTTTTAGGGAAAGTATTTTGTAGGGAAAATTCAAAAGTGACAATTAGAAACACTCATTAAATTTTCACGGTTGGCGAAAGTTACATAGTATCTACCTTTTCAGGCGATATTTATTATAACCCAACCCCCGAATTAAGGGATCACTAGAGCATTTGTCTCGCTTCATATTGTTGGAACCCTAGGTTTTATTTTTACCATTCATAACTTTAGCCTCAGGGCTGGTTATACAATAAATATACAAAAAAGAGAGACATATTTTAAAAATTCACCCGTACTTAAGGCTATTTTTTTTAGTACTTTTCCCATTCATTTTATTACCTTTTTGGGGTATAAGTCACGTGGCTCCTGACTAAGCTGCCGTAAAAATTAACTTTTAACGTCAAGTAAAAATGACTTTCAAGTATTGACCAAGTTCAAGAAAATTCCAACAATTTTCCGTCCAATTCACTTTGAAAAATAGCTTGTCAAGTGCTCACAAAACCAGCTGGGCGTGAATAAGTTGAGTTTTTGAGAACTCTTCAGGGAATGAACAAGCTACAGGTAGAGCACGAACATAAATGTTCACAATCAGTTGCAGACTTTCGAACCCACCCCTACCCCCCTCCCTCTCCCACTAACAGAAATTCGTAACCAGCACCGCTCAAACAATTCCACTTTTGCTTTATGCCTAATTTTTCAAAGACGCCTTTGGCGCAAATATATGCTCATTTTGTTTATCGGAATTTGAACATTTGAGGCGGCTCAAATATTCAATTGAAAAAAAAATTAAAAAGTAGGCTGAATTCAAAAAAGTATACCCCATAAATAAGTAATAATGTATTGATCTAAAAAGACAGCAAGAGTTATGTAACCAAATTTCCCATACGAATAACCGGAAAGATCCTTTCTGGTTACAAAACATCAGGAGTCTTGCCAGGTTAATTAAACTGGGATTAGTCATAGCCCACCCTAATTAGTACGAACAACGATTATAAATAGCAGAAGTGTTTCGAATCATGCAAGCGGGCGACGTATTCAAATGGCAAATGGGAATTATACCAAATTTCTTCAAAGAAAACGTCTTCTTTTAATACTATCTTCTTACATCTTGTTTTCATGAAGGGGTCGCAAAAGCTAGACATATAAAATCGATTGGTTTTTAGTGAGGAAAACCCCGATGGGAAAAATAATACGATTTTTCATTAATTTATGCTTTCATTTGCAGCGTCTTGTATGAACTTTTTCATTTTTTATTTAAGGCTTGCTTCATAAAATTGCATCATATTATTTCAAGACCAGATTGTTTTTTCACAAGAATTAGAGATAATCTCAGATAAACCTTTTTCATTAAGAGATAAACCGCTTTCAAAGCATACCAAATCGGCAAAAACATATTCGAAAACTAATTCGATATTGTTTGTTTCACGCTTCACAATTCCTTACAGGCTTCGTGAACAAATGATTTCCGCAATTTTTGCCAAGACTCCGATGGTGATAAAAAGCATGCTTAAGCAAACATGTTGTCCTATTTTGCCCAAAACTGTTTCGAAAATTTATTCAACATTACCGAAACAAATTTTAAGAAATAAAAACTTGTCACGTGGGAGAGGAAAAAAAAAACAAAAAACAATCAGTATCCCGAAAAAAGTCTGATTGTGATATTATTGTACAAAATGATCTCTTTTGTTACAGCTTTAGACCATAATAAAAAAAAACAAGACTGCTCGTTCCGACTGCCTTTTAAGGTTTATGGAGCAGTAATAAAATAAAAGAATTAAATGTAAGAAAGTAAAATGAATTTTCTTTTCTAAAATTTGAAATTTTTTATGAAAACTATCACCCCACACGCCATATAAAGTACAAAAGAAAAAAATTCGCTCATTTTAACAAATCAATTATGGCAAATAAGCTTCTGTCAACCAATTTGGAACGATTTTTGAGACGGATTAAATCTCCGCTTACGCGTTAATAGCGCGAAATATATCGCGCGTTATTGTCCCAAATTGGCCAAAATGGCAATCTTTAAACCCCCATTACTTTAAGAAAAATGATCACAGGAGTAATATCTTTTCAAATTTGAGCTCAGGACAACAATACCTTTTGAATGATATTTAAAAGTTCCGTCAAAAATGGCTAGTTTAAAAGTCGAAATTTGTCTGAAGAAAAAAACCTACCCCGAGCACAAATATTCCGTTACTTTCGTATCGAAATTCGAAACAATAAGTAGAGGATACACTCCATATACACTCCAAGAAAATCGCCAAACGCAAAGGCGCGCGAATGGAGGATTCTGCCACATAAACTAATCAGCATTTAGCTACCGGCTACAAAAGCTTAGGTCTAAAAAAGGCTTCGATGTTTTGAAGTTGCTTCGATTTGATGCCCTGTCATGTCGTTTTAATTACCAAATTCTCTGAATATCAAAACTTTTCTCGAAACCTAGACTTTTTGAAATCTATATCCCAACTGAAAAGGCTTTATCATTATCAAATGCTCAAGCTGGAATGACACGTTGTACTGATACCTAGATTTGCATAAAAAATTTCTCCCAAATTCATTTTTGTTACTAAACTTTGATAGTCTGAATTAACAATTTTATATTTAAAATAGTCAAAAAGTTTGACCCTCTGATTCTAGGCCAACTAAATGTTTTATAAAATAGATTGGGACCAAAAATGTCATATAAATTTATCTGATGTCGCAATATTTGATGGTTACTGATTATCAAAAATGTCATAAAATTTATCTGATGTCGCAACATTTGAACGTTACTGATTAACACTGTCTCCTTTTCTTAGTAAATGCTCGTAGTCTTGCTCAACACTGATATGTTGAAAACTAAAAAAAATCTTTTAAAATGAAAAATGAAAATTAAAAAAAAAATCATTTAAAGTGAAAAACAAAAATTAATTATAAATTATATTTTTTCTTGTGATTTAGTTTTCCAAGCTTATTAATTTTAGTCGCTGTAAACCCTTGCCTTGCAAAAAATTTTTTATGATATTTTTCTATGACTTTATGCAATTCCTCTATTCAATTTACTTAGCAATGAGAGATGTTCACACAGCGTTCAGATTTCAGAAAAATTGTAACCAAAAATGTCATATAAATTTATCTGATGTCGCAATATTTGATGGTTACTGATTAGCACTGTCTCGTTCTGGAACTTCACGCTCGTAGTCTTGCTCAGCACTGATAAGTTGTAAATTAAAAAAAAATCATTTAAAGTGAAAAACAAAAATTAAGTATAAAAGGGAAGTCTAATTTTTTTTGCAAAGTTTTGCTATTTCATGGTTAGAAACAAGCAGCTGATGACCCGGTTAGCTGCCGTTTGTGTATCAGCACAAAAGAAAAACCAAAAAAAAAGTTTTTTTTCGGTCTTGTGCAAATCTTGCAGCCAAACCCAGTGTGAAAAACAGAATATTTTTTTGCTACTTTTGACAGATTAAAGGTTATATTTTGCCGGATTTCGTACGCACTAATAAACAACTATAAACTTCAAGGGCTTTAGTTGTTGCAAGTTAGCTAAAGTAATTCCAAATTCAAAACCCCACACCCTCATGAAAAACAATTATTTACAGTGGGGCTTTTGGGGGGTGGTTGGGGTGGACGCCTCTCTTTTCAGGCATTCTACCCCGCCGACCCAAAGGGTCCCCCTGTGTTCTAGTTTGAGATATCCATATTTGGCTGAAGGACCCTGAAATTTTTCTGAAAGCGCCTTTGGCGCTATAATATACTAATGTTGAGGGGAAAGCGCGCGCCGAAAAAAAAGCAATTTTTTGGTCAAACTCTTAACAGAAGACAATTCGTAACAAGCGACAATTCGTAACAAGCGACAATTTGTAACAGTAGATTAAGCGGGGGAACAGAGATTCACGCGCAATATTTCTCTCGTGCTGTATTAAGATCAGCGGCGCGAAGTAAATTTTGCCTCGTAAATTTGAAAATCCGCCACCCCACCACGAGAAAATCCTAAATCTTAGATTTTGCCTTTGTAAGTTTGAAAATCTGCTCCCTCCACGAGAAAATCCTATATCCATTTAAAAAGAGCTAGCCGAATCAAAATTTGAAGAATATTATTTCGAAAATGTGAACTGACTTGTCAACCACAACTAGTTTAACAGGCGAGGATGTTTCCGCAGCATGAACACTCGTTAAACCAGTTATTGTTTACTGGCCAATTAACATCTTAAAAACAAGGTTCTAAAATTTTTGATCCAAAAAGTTCTTTTCAAATAGCTTCATTTGCCATGAATTTTAAATTTATGAACTTTCAGACCTTTATCTTGAACGACCACGGAGAAAACGGCCCAAACGTGAAGAAAAAATTCAAATATTTGAGCGTTGAAAACAAAATGTTGTCTTTGTTGTGCTTGTATACATAAAAAAAGCTCTTCACCTAAACTTTGTAAAGAGACATTAGCTAGCGAAGGCGAATTTTTTGGATTGTGTTTTATAATACAAGAAAAACGTCAGAAAATAACAAAACTGATCGAATGAAAACGAAAGACAATAACTTCGTTCGAAGAGAAAATCCAAATGCAAACTCAAATTAGGTCTTACCTGCGATACCAGTAATAAATTGATCGGCCAATGCCAACTGACAATGCGAGTGAGCTACGAACAACTTATGGCTCTCGTTGAGTGCCCTTTCTAGCCGACAGAGTGGTTGGCCGACAGTTGGGTTGCCATCTGGTCCTTCTGTCATGCTCAACAACACCATTATGTCATCACTAGCTTCAACTGCATTTACAAACTCGGCCGAAAGGTTCTCGCAATGTTCTTCTATTTTCACGTACTCGTCGGCTAATTCGAGTTCGGCTTCGCTTAACCACCTGACTTTTTGAGACAGTTTGAAGCAGGAGTCTATGGGGTCAGGCGAGGTCAAGGCTATATAGGTGGGGCTGGATAGAGCCCTCATCAGGTCAATTCTAGCCCGGCAGTCCTGCAGACTGGCGCCTTCAATGTGGTGCGGAATCTCGAGAGGCGTGGCACCGTACTCTAAAACACAAATAAATATCATCGCGTATTCTATACCATTTTTGTCAAAAACTCATTTACTAGGTTAGAAAAATTTATAAATATCCATCTTATTAATTGTAGATGTAAATATACATCTTAAAATATCTCAAAAAATCTTAGAAATAGAATTGCCATCATTTGGATTTTGAATTATTAGCTCGAAATTTAAGTTTGGTAATTAGAAAACATTTTGGGCGTTTCTTCACCATGAGCAAAACTAGAAGCAAAAATTTCAGTTCGTATTCGATCCAATTGACATTGATATTAAGACTCGAAAAAAAAACTAAACGATGCTACTATTAAAAAATTATTCCAAACTTTTGACAGATCCCACGCCTCAAAATTTCCACGTTCAAATTGATATTAGAAACAAATGGTTTAAGGCAGGGGCGGATTTAGGGGGGGGGGGGGGGGTCGGACGCCCCCTCCCCCCCCCCCCCTCAGGGATTCGACCCCCTGCCGACCCAAAGGGTCCCCCCTTTGATACTTTTTCAGAAATCCATTTTCGGCCGACCGACCCTAAAATTTTTGTAAAGGCGCCTTTGGCGCCAATATATACCAACTTTGAGGGGGAGCGCGCGCCAAACAAAACGCGATTTTTTTTTGTCAAAATTTTTCAAAATGTGCCCAAAAACGGCTTTTTTGACTGTTTTTTCAAAAATTTGCCTGCGGCGCAGAAAATTTAGCCAAAATAGGGGCAAAACAGTGCTTTGGGAGAGCTCGAAAGATCAATTTGGTCGACCTAAAAAAAAAGGTCGTCCAAATTTTCGAATTTTTTTTTAAATCCGCCCCCCCCATCGAGAAAATCCTGGTTTAAGGTCAGCTCTTTTGTTAGGCCAGCCTTTTTTGTCGAGACAATTGACCATCGTTTATTCAAACCTAATTCCCGCAAAATCAAATTTCATATTTCAAAGTCAAGTAGTTTTTTTTTTCATGTGGGTTCTCATGTAAGAAAATAGACAAAAATCACAGCACTAAATAAATCGAACTTCAATGATCGAACTTTTGAAACACATTAAGTAATGATGATGTATGGCAGGGGCGGATCTAAGATTTTCTCGAGGGGGGATTTTTCAAAAAAAAATTGAAAACTTTGTCAACCCTTTTTTAGGCCGAAAAAATTGCTTTTCTGAGCTCTCCCAAAGCGCTAAAAAGACACTGATTAGGTCGCATTTTTTGCGCCGCAGGCAAAATTAAAAAAAAACGATCTAAGTCATTTTAAGGCTCTTTTTGGAAAATTTTAATCGAAAAAAAAATTTAGGCTTGCGTTTCTCCCTCAAAATTAGTGAATATTGAGTATATGCATATTATATACTCAGCGATTTTTTGGTTGCAGCTATTTTAAAATCCATTTTTGGCCGTACCGACCCTAAAATTTTTCTAAAGGCGCCTTTGGCGCCAATATACAATATATACCAACTTTGAGGGGGAGCGCGCGCCAAACAAAACGCGATTTTTTTTTGTCAAAATTTTTCAAAATGTGCCCAAAAACGGCTTTTTTGACTGTTTTTTTCAAAAATTTGCCTGCGGTGCAGAAAATTTAGCCAAAATAGGGGCAAAACAGTGCTTTGGGAGAGCTCGAAAGATCAATTTGGTCGACCTAAAAAAAAAGGTCGTCCAAATTTTCGAATTTTTTTTTTAAATCCGCCCCCCCCATCGAGAAAATCCTGGTTTAAGGTCAGCTCTTTTGTTAGGCCAGCCCTTTTTTTGTCGAGACAATTGACCATCGTTTATTCAAACCTAATTCCCTCAAAATCAAATTTCATATTTCAAAGTCAAGTAGTTTTTTTTTTCATGTGGGTTCTCATGTAAGAAAATAGACAAAAATCACAGCACTAAATAAATCGAACTTGAATGATCGAACTTTTGAAACACATTAAGTAATGATGATGTATGCAGGGGCGGATCTAAGATTTTCTCGAAGGGGGATTTTCAAAAAAAAATTGAAAACTTTGTCAACCCTTTTTTAGGCCGAAAAAAATTGCTTTTCTGAGCTCTCCCAAAGCGCTAAAAAGACACTGATTAGGTCGCATTTTTTTGCGCCGCAGGCAAAATTAAAAAAAAAACGATCTAAGGCATTTTAAGGCTCTTTTTGGAAAATTTTAATCGAAAAAAAATTTAGGCGCGCGCTTCTCCCTCAAAATTAGTGAATATTGAGTATATGCATATTATATACTCAGCGATTTTTTGGTTGCAGCTATTTTAAAATTAACAGGTTATTTCATTGGCCCCCACTATGCTGAGTGGGAATCAAAGCGTTTCATTAAATCAGAATATAAGGAGCGTTAGCTTAAAACTTAAACTTAAAATTTTCCAAACCTCACTGCCCTATATGGCCATTTAAGTTTTTTCAACCGAATTTATTGCTTTCACTCAAAATACAAGATTCTTTGCTTATGCTCAGTTTGCTTCCAATCAAAATACAATAATTAATTTCTTAATTAGGACTTTTTGAAATTTGGATCCCCAGACAAGTTTCTATTTTTCAACTATATTTAAACAATAATTTTGTAAGATTATTTGAAATGTTCATCAGAATACACCGGTGGATCTAGGATTTTCTCGAGGAGTGAGGCGTACCTTCAAAAAACTTTCGAAAATTTTGTCAACCTCTTGTATAATTTAGGGCGACCAAAAACGATTTTCCGAGCTCTCCCGAAGCATTAAAAGACCCTGTTTTGGTCGAAATTTTCTGCGCCGCAGGCAGATTTGTGAAAAAACAGGCCACAAAAGGCATTCTTATGCACTTCTTGGAAAATTTGACCAAAAACTTTTTTTTTTGGTTCGCGCTGCCAGCTCATGTATATTTATACAGGGGTGGATCAAGGATTTTTTTTAAATCGACCAAATTGATTTTTCTGGCATTTTTTTGGCGCGCGCTCCCGCCTTAAAATTAGTATATATTGGCGCCGAAGGTACGTCACCAAAAATGGATATAACAAAATAGTGCAAAGGGGGACCCTATGGGCCGGCAGGGGGTCGAATCCCTGAAGGGAACGTCCGCCCCCAAGCCCCCGCCCCCATAGATATATATACAATTTCAAACTTATTGCTTCATAACTTACAAGAGCTTAATTTAAAGCATGAATATTTAGCTTTACTTGAGT